CCATAAGTCATTCAACTTGTTTAGCTGATTTGACTTGAATATAAGTAGGACTTAACATTTTAATTAATCCATTCCCTTATATAAAATTGGTAGGACTTAACTGATAAGTTAATCCGTTCCTAGAATGTCACCATCCCATACAGGTGCATTAAACCGCACAATCCAACAATTGATGTAACGATTAAGGAAATACATCAAACAATTCAAAAATAACTATGATAATATGATATCAAATAGCAAGCATCATTACGATTGAGTTTATTTAAATTTATTTAAACCCAAACCTAGTTCCTATTTAATGTTCAAGAATCCTAGACATGTTTCTACGTTCCATCATTCCACAAATATAAAAAATACATAATTTAAACATATAAAAATTCACACCAGAAATCAAATCAAAATCTTGCATTTATCAATTCATAACACAAGAACATATATGAACCAATTTCATAAAACATATGTTCTAATCCAATTAAGCATGCATAATTATTTAATTTTATGTGTTTAATAAATTCTAGAATTTTCTAGGCATGTACAGAAACACGAATCAAAGGGAAAGAGAGAGAAGAAGAACTTGCCTTAAACTTTCAGATCGAAAGTTAAACTTCTTCTTCCTTGATCTTCTCTCTACAGGGTTTTTCTCATCCTTCCTTCTCTAACTCTTTCTCTATAATATATCACGTGAATATTTCTAACCCCATTTTACAACCTATAGCTATATATTTATAGGCTAAATAAAATAACCCTAACCCTTTTCCCAATCCAAGTCAACTTAAAAAATAAAAATAAAAATCTTAAAAAGGTAAGTAAAATATGTTACATATATAATTTATGTATATCTTTATTAAATAAATAAACATCCCATTATTTATTAATGGATTATCCAATAATACCTAAGTTACTATAATATTATAAAGTAACTTAAAACATAATACGTATCAAATCTATGTATATTTTTATTATTTAAATATAAAACATATACATCAGATTAAATATTACTACTTAAGTTACTATAAAAGTAATTAATAAAATACCCATTATTTATTGATGGATTATCCAATAATACTTAAGTTACCATAATATTATAAAGTAACTTAAAACATAACATGTATCAAATCTATATATATTTTTATTATTTAAATATAAAACATATACATCAGATTAAATATTACTACCCAAGTTACCATAAAAGTAATTAATAAATTACTTTCCCTTTTATATATGTATATAATATATATCTATATATATATATACACACACAACTATCCATGGGTACTAATCTGTTTCCATCCAACTTCCTATTCAAGTAGTACATAGGACCCAATTGGTTGGCTCATTACTACTAACCATAACCATAAAAGAAAAATAAAAGAAAATATTTAATTTACAATGAATCAAAACACCATTTAAGCACATAATCTAATTAAACAATTAATACATAGACAATAACTAATAACACATAGACACATAATCAAATACTCAAGTAATACTTAATTCAATTAAACCCATAAATAATTAGTCAAATAATCAATTAAATAATTAAAAATACAATTAAAACAAATAAATAAATATCGAGACTATCCTTTTAAAATTAGGGGTATTACAGTTTACTAGTCTCATGAAAGATGGCTTTGTTCATCTATCGGAATGAAGGAGAAGCAAGAAAGGTTTCATTGATTCCAATGATATTACTGATGCTGAATGTTCTATCTTGCAGCTGGTCAAGAAAGATTCAGAACATTGACTAGTTCGTACTACAGAGGAGCTTAAAGGATCATTATGGGTGATTTCTGTTCATTAATTTATTTTTATTTTTTTCGACCACTATTGTTTGATATTTTCTTTAAAGAAAAATTGCAAATTATGGCCTATTATAGAGTTGTGGGGAGGATAACTTTTTTAGGAAACCTTTTCTATGTTACCCGGACTAAATTTAGAACAAGAGTATTCATGATGGTTAGTGAAACATGTGAAAAAATAGACCTTTCTATCGTTGTTACAACAATTACAACAATCAAAGCCTTTTAAAAGAAGAAGAATATTCTAAAATAATTTTGGTTGAAACGAGATATATGTTAAAAAATAGAATTTTCTTACCAAAAAAATAAAAATTAAAAAATGTTGAATAGCTAAAAATGTACTGGCTGCGTTGATGTGCTGATTTTGCTCGACATTATAAGCATTCCATATTTTTTTTTTAATGAAGATAAAACTTTTCCCCCCTCATGGTAGACATTTATGAACATTCAGTAAATAACCTAATTTATTGACGTTCATTCATTTTATTCACTAGAGATAATTATTGCTTAGAAATGTGGCATCAGAAAGCTCATGATTTGATCCACATCTCCTTTACTGGAATCTGCTGATTATAATGTAGAGATGTGGAACAACATAATGAGTATTGAGTGTCGATTACTTGTATCGTTGTTGTTGGAGACATCATTTTATAGTCAAAGTGTTAAGTTCAAAATTTTCTTAAACTTCCTTTCTTTTCTATTTAGTATTCCACGATCCTTCACTTTGACCTTTGTTCGCTAGTATTTGATATCTCACAGACCAATCTGTTGTTGGCTTCTTGAAATAGCCATTTCTACGTTGGTGAATTTCCTTCCATGATTCCTTAAGCCACTGATTTACATGCTTAAATTCTTGAAATAACTATCTCTGCATCGGTGAATTGCCTTCATGATTTTTTAAGCTAATGATTTGCATTTTTTATTTTTTTGTTCCTCTGTGCAATACATAATTTGCAACAAAGCAACATCATATGTGTGCTAAGAACTGTTGAGTTGACGTGTGGACATCTTCAAAAGTCTAGGATCAAGACAATAATTAGTTTTTGAAAAGATTTTTGCATGCCAACCCATCAAGTTCAAAGATATGGTATGGCATACATGATTCTTTTGTTATGTTTTATTCTTATTCCTGCTAATTATATGCTATTGACTAGTTATTTTCTTCATCTTACTAAAAACTTGATTTTGGTGGTTGTAATTGTAACAGTTTATGATGTAACACGGCGAAAAACATTTACAAATCTCTTTGATGTCTGGGCCAAGGAGATTGGCCTCTACTCAACTAATCAAGATGCTTGTCGGAAACAAAGTCGATAAGGTATTTTAAGGAGATTATATATTTAAGTGTTTTTTCTTCTCAACCTGGTAATTGGCCAGGATTTTCAAAACTGAATTTTCCTTGAGAGGATATTGACAAAATTACTGAAATTGGTAATCGAATCAATTGATTAAAGAATTGGGAATACACTGTTATATGTACATTAGAATAATGCTATTCTAGGAAACTAACTAATTTTGGAGATACACATTAATACATATAAAAAACTGATCCCTAGAAATCAGGGATTATAATAACTAATAAATCCCTAGCTATATAAGGAAAGAATCGTATTTTCCCACACTCCCCCTCAAGCTGGTGAATGGATGTCATCCATTCTAAGCTTGCTGGTTACTCTCTGAAAAATGGTACCATACAATCCTTTGGTAAGCACGTCTGCTAGCTGTTCTCCAGTAGGAACAAAAGGAGTACAAATGAGGCCACTATCCAACTTCTCTTTAATAAAATGCCTGTCCACTTCAATGTGTTTTGTGCAGTCATGTTGCACAGGATTGTGTGCAATATTGATGGTTGATTTATTATCACAGTAAAGCTTCATTGGACCTTCCTATCTGACTCTTAGATCTTCCAAGATTATCCTTAGCCATAGTAGTTCACATATCCCGAGTGCCATCGCTCTAAATTCAGCTTCCGCGCTGGACCTTGCAACCACATTCTGTTTTTTGCTTCTCCAAGTAACAAGGTTACCACCTAAGAAGGTGCAATAACCCGAGGTTAATCTTCTGTCAATCACGGATCCTGCATAATCCGCATCTGTGTAGGCTTCAAGAGTCAGTCCTTCCCCTTTCTTAAACAGAATTCCTCTTCCTGGTGTACCCTTCAAGTACTGCAGAATTCTATACACAGCTTTGAGATGTGATTCTTTGGGATTGTGCATGAATTGACTCACAACACTTATCTAGGTGCACAGAACATGAGCCAAAGGGAAGGAGAAAGAAAAAGAACTTGCCTTTTAAGGTTTCAGTCTAAAACCTTTCACCGTCTTCCTCCTAGGTTTTTCTGTTGACCTTAGTTTCCATTGAACCTCCTTTGCCCCTCTTGTTTTAACCTACGAACAGCCCTCAACCTTCCTCCTTGGTCCAGCTTACAATCCTTGGCCAAAAACTCCCAACTGTGCCTCTCAGTTTCTCTCAAAACTCTCTGTATTTTCACTGTGCCGTGAATAGGGTTATCAAACCCTAGGGAGACGTATGATATATATTTAGAGACTTTACTCAAAACCTAATTCCAATTATAAGGAGAACCAGAAATCCTAACTCAACCCTGGTCAGCCCAACGTAAATCTCAAACGAATTAAAACAAAACCCTATATGATAATCACACACTTAATTTATTAAAATAGTTACGTCCATGCTAGAAAAATAATTAATAATTACAGAAAAACAAAAATACAATTAAAGACAACAAGCCATTTAAATACAATAATTAATTAAAATAACAATTTGACACATAAACATAAAATCAAAAAATCAATAGACAAAAATGCACATAGAATGAAATTTAAATCCCAATTTTATCCTTTTAAAAATTAGGGGTATTACATTCTTTCCCCCTAACAAAAGGAATTCTGTCCTCGGAATTCACGAAACTCTGAATTATTTGTATAAGTCTTTTGTTCCGTTCCGTTGTGGATTATGCCTCTGTGTATAGGCTCCACTAATTTCCAAATCCTTAAAAAAAAAAAATAAAGGTCCGATATAAAGGACACACAAATTTTTAATACGTAAGTTGTATTGAACAACTATTCATTCTTACCCAATGTTTTTATATAGGGTAAAGTTCCACACTCCTCCAAGTTCGACAGCATAGATTTACAAAACCCTTATGCAACCAATCCCAATGTTTTAATAAAACTAATCGATAGACTACCGCCTAAATGGGGAAATACCATCCTTGAAAAGTCAATTTTAAGACATAAAAACTGACCTTCCTCAAAAACACTTTGCTTCCGCTACAGAAGACATCCCAATCAACTGTTTCCTGATAGAAAAACTCTAGTGGATGAGTGTAACAATTTACAAAATCGTACTGCCGCCGCCAAACCGTACGCAATCCATTTCAACTTTCCATAAAAACTAGGATATTTATCCTAAGTATCTCCCCCATGATTAAACGTACATTCTCAATCCAATCATCTGTCGAGAGATATGAAGCACAGCTATACCTCCGTTATCAGTGCAATGTAGAACTAATGCGAAGTCCAAAAGTGAACATTACGAGAATTAGGTCGAGCAGCAAACTTGCTTAATCCACTACTCTTAATCCGTATAGAATGAAAATTCCAATAAATATCGACAAGTTCTACCAACCACCCAGTCCTGATTAGTCTTACTCCCACTTTAATTTAGGCAGTGGCAAAAATCCCCAATGATCGCCGGTTATCTTTCTAACTGGTGTTACTCATTTAGACAGTTATATACATGTCTCTTTCTAAACCTGTTCACTAGAATGGACATTTGATGTCCTGATGTTCCTTAATCATCCGAGTGCAATTGAGAAGAAGCGACGAAAATTTACATCACACTCACTCCGACAACCTTAATAGAAATTAATCCTCTAGTACCTTAAACTCTATCCAAGTAAGGTAACACCACCTCCACGGTCAGCTCCGATATTTGAATTTGACCCCCTTAATTTCCTTGGTAAAAGTAAGTGTCATTAGTATATAAACTAAGACCCTAACTCCTAATGTAACAACTAACCGACAACTCCTATCGGTTGTTGCGAGCGTCCTCATCCATGTTCCCTTCCACCAGACAGAACTTAACGCAAAGTGCGAATCACCACGTTGATGCATCTAAGTCGTCTTGTAATCCCCTCTATTCATATGAACTAATATTTCACTAGTTCGAAATAAACAAGATCTGAGCTGATTTAATTTAGAAATCAACCCTCAACTAAATCTGTAATGATGCTCAATCATTTCCACTACGGTATGGAAAATGGCTGCAAGGATCCAGTAATCTCGAACGGTCCAGCTTGATCATCCAAATAAACATTAAAAATGAAGTCAAAATCACTATATCTCTCTGCGCATCCTCTTCTCAATCTGTCTTTCGACTGCACCCATTATGTAACTTGGAGCATCGTCAAAAGCTAACTCTACAACTTAAGTCTATGCACCACTGATCCGTGACAGACTTACTTATAATAAAATCAACCGGTAATTCTATTCATTGAAAATCAACTCACTATGACTTTTCACATACACTGCGCTCCGCTTCCTTATATAGGCGTTCGGTCTCACCTTCCTGTCCTTGACACACCTTACTTCTCTAATATAATTAAGTGTCAATTAACCCCTTGTCACGCTTCAAACCAATATGGAAAATTTTTATCCATAAAATAATTCCACATTTTATACATTGTGGAAACTTTGATTCCTCCTCCAAGTGCAACACCAGTAACCTCTTCAAATGACACCCTCGTGAGTAGTGTCTTGGTTACAAATTAACTGATGAATATTTAATCAGTCCACCATCCTCTCTTAACGACATTCTAATAAATACCTACCAGCATGAAATCCTCCTTTCGTCATGGTGGTCACTTCAGAAATTTCCCTGAAGATATTCTGCACCTCCGACGCCTTTCACAAACCATGGTGGCATTATAGTGGTCTTTATCTACCACAACCCCATGAACACAATCATAATAACATCCACCAATCTTAGGGTGTTATAAAAACGAATCCCTATCTAGTGTAAAGCATATCAACCGAATCATTTTAGATTAGTTGACGCGTACTGTTAGGTTAACTATTCCATCCCAAGTAACATACCATAATTATACATGTTCAGGTCGAATAGATTGGCTGGACTCATGTATATCTACCAAATTTTATGACCACATGCTCACAATCCTAGCGCACATAGCGCTATTAGTCCATGTTATTAAAACAATAGTTGGCTAATCACATACATGTGCCCCCAACTAAACCATATTTCCAATCCGAACTAATTAATAAAAAAAAAACAAATAAAACATATAAATTACATACAATAATGAAAATGAACCACATAAAACACATACTGTTGATCCATTGGTTTATCATGTTTGCTCATTTAATGTAAAATCAATTTTCCTGGACATCTCATTTTTAATCTTTAGTATTGTTGGGTACTATTTTAGTTATATTTATATGTCATTATCAGGTGTGCACTAACAATTCTTTCAATATTTTTTTAGTCCATGTGCGTGTATACAGATATATTGCAAGGATAACCGAGTGTCTTCTATGTCTATTAATTCCTCATACTTCAACATCTAGGTCATGGAATGTTTGCTAGTTGTGCTTAAATGAAGGTTATTATAGAATAGTATATGATTTGCTATCTAAAGTGATCCAACGGCCTTAAGTTATCCGGTCAGCTTTTATTTGAAGTCAAGGGCTGTGATTAATTCATTAATTGGATAGCTTTTGTGTGGCTGTAAGGAGCTGGTGCATTCTCTCTCTAATGGCTTCATAGTTTAGAGATACATATACAGATCAAGCGTGCATCTATTAGGAAAAGCATAAAAACTGAACAGAAAAACTATCAGAGTGCTTAAAGATGAAGATACATTGTGAGCTCCAGAGAAAAATCAGAATGACATAGCAGGGCACAAGGAAGAATCAAGAAGGATTAAGTGAGTCTGTGTTTTATTAACAATCTGAGACAACCTGTGATGGGCATCTATTGAAGACCAAAGAGTGAGCTTGATTGCAGACGAATTTAGAGCAACCATGAAGACCCATTTTGGCCGAAGTGCTGTTGAAGATAAATAGGTGACACTCCATTGAAGAACCCATCACCGGAGAGCTACAGCAACCACACCGGAGAGCTACAGCGACCATACCGGAGAGCCACAGCGACCACACCTGCGTGAAGACTTCATTTCAGCGAGCTAAAATCTCTATCGGCGAGAAGACCTCATTCTGGTGATTTTCAATCTCAGTCCAGCGAGCTAAAATAGCAGCATACCAGGACGGCAAAAATCTCTAAGCTTGTATCAAAGCTCCGGTGCAGTTTCATCTTACAGAAATATTTCAAGCGAGCTTCAGTCCAGCTCCGTTCAAACAAACACCATCTCCGGTTGAAGCTTTGAAGTTGAAAAGATCAAATCCAGAAGCGGAGTGCAATGTTTATCTTGTATGGGCTGTGAAATCTATATTTCAAGTTTTATGCTTATTTAAATCGTATCTTGTAAAACTTGGAAGAACACCATCATTGTATTATATTTTCTTGCTGAGTGACTTGGTGAGCATTTGGTTCATGCATTGGGATGCTGTGAACAGGGGGAGTGCTTGAGTGATTGTTGTGAGATTGGTGAGTGGTCTTAGCACAAGGGTGTTGTAGACACGGGAGAGTGCAATAGTGACTTATATGTGAGGTTGGTGAGTGAGATTGAGAGTTGGTGTACTCTATTTCATTTGTAGTGGATTTGGAGTTCGGTTTCACAGCCCCGAGGACGTTTCCCCCACACTGGGGGTTTTACCTCGTATATCGGGTGTAAGACAATCGTAGCATTTCATTTGATGTTCTATCATCATGCATTAAGATAAAATTAAAAAAAAATTGCAGAAATCTCATAAGATACCAATTCAACCCTCTCTTGGTATCTTCAATTGGTATCAGAGCCAAGGTCTTTTTATGTCAAGTTTCACCACCTGTAGAAAAAGGTCATAAATCATGGCAGATGAAGGTCAGGTTATTAACAAAGCTCCAGGATTTGATGGGATAGACTACGACTCATGGAAGATTAGGATGGAGGCATTTCTAATGTCTCAAGCCTATGAGGTTTGGCAAGCTGCTACCATAGGAATTGTTGTCCTCAATCCTGATAACCCCTCAACCACAGACAAAACAGCTATGTCAAATGATGGCAGAACGAACCATGATCTGTATTGTGCATTGAAGCAACATGAATTCACCAGAGTGAAAAATTGTAAAACTGCAAAAGAAATATGGGATTCTTTAAGAGCTGCTCATGAGGGAAACAATATTATTAAGGAGAACAAGATTCAGCTTCTTAAGGTTCAATACGAATGATGCAAAATGGAAGAGAAGGAGAATGTGGCAGAATACATGTTCAGAATTAATAAGATTGTCAACAACATTAGAGCTCTTGGTGAAGACATGAAGGACTCAGAAGTGTCCAAAAAGATACTCAGGTCACTAACACCTAGATTCAATCCAAAAGTGACTCTTCTTGAAGATAAAGACATATCCAAAATGACTATTGATGATTTGCAAACCTCTTTGACTGCCTATGAGATGAGGATTGGTGTTCAGACTCAATATAGAAGAGAAGCTGCTCTAAAGGCTAAGGAAACTGTGGAAGAAGAAGTTCAAAAATCTGATGGTGACTTATCTGATGATGAAGTAGCTTATCTAACTAAGAAATTCAAGAAGTTCAGGTTCAAGAAAAGAGGACAGTCACAGGGTTAGACTTGTTTTGGATGTGGAAAATCTGGTCACTTTATTGCAAGTTGTCCAAGTAACACAAGGGCTCAAACTTATAGAAAACCATAGAATTTCAACAACAGAAACAAAGGCAAGAAGAAGGCCTTCCCCACTGGTTGGAAATCAAGCTCTGAAGAAGAAGAAGAAAAAATAGTTTCAGGGGATAAAGGAACCTGTCTATTCATGGTTATTCATGAGCCTTCCTCATTTCAAATTAATGAAGAGGTAAATGAAGATGAAGAAGATGATCTTGATGAAGTCCTTACTGAATGTGAAAGGCTTGCTAGAAAATGTAATTCACAGAAGAAAGAATTGAAGCTGATCAGCCATAAGTTAGAAACAACTAAAGAGCTACTCATGAAACACATCAAGGTAAAACTCTCTCTTTTCTGTTCCACTTCCTTAATTGTGTGTCAGTGTACCAAAGACAGGATAGGTGATATAAAATGGAGCATTAAAAGATGTAAAGAGGAATTGGCAATGGCATTAGAAGAAAGGTCTAAAAAGATGATTGAGGTCTGGACTAACTCAACTAAGCAAATTGGGAGGATAGGTATTGGCTATGATCTAAATTCGCTTGAAAAGGTAAAACAAACCTCATCACACTCTATCTTTGTTAAATCTGAAAGTGGTGAAATTTATGCTGCCTATCCTACTACTATCAGTGCATGTAGACCCAAGTATGAATTGCTTCAGTCCACTCACTTCAATTTAAAGCATGATCACTTAGATGTTGAATCATATGCAAATAGAAACTCTAAAGGTAAACTTGCATATGTATAGAAATCTGAATTGAAGCATGGTAGTGTATCTAAGATAAACAAGTCATTTGTGAAAACTAGAATGATGTGGATACCTAAGAAACAAAATGCTGTTAGTTTTCTAATTTACACTGCTTTTAAAGCATGCAATATTAACAATAAATGGTATGTTGATAGTGGCTGCTCTAGACACATGACAGGTGATATGTCAAAATTTGAAAAACTTGAAAAGTATAATGGTGGCACAGTTATCTTTGGAGATAACAAAAAGACCAAAATTGTGGGAAAATGAATCATTTCTAAAGCTGCTGACATCCCTAAAATTAAAGATGTTTTATATGTTGAGGGCCTTAAACACAATTTGCTCAGTATTAGTCAATTGTGTGACACTGGATGTATGGTATGTTTTGATAAGAATGACTGTAAAGTCATTGATGAACAATCTGGAAAAGCTTTATTTTCTGCAAGCAGATCCCCTACAAATGTGTACACCATTGCTGAGGACACGTCTTTAAATGTGTGTAATTTGTCTAAATCTGAAGATAGCATTTTATAGCATAAAAGGCTTGGTCATGTGCATGCTAAGAATATCATGAATGTAGTTAAGTATAAAGCTGTTAGAGGCATACCTGAGTTAAAAATTGATGAAAATCATGTATGCAAAACATGTCAATTTGGTAAACAAACTAAAGCTTCATTTAAATCTAAAGAAATCAATACTTCACAACCATTTGAGATTATTCATATGGATTTATGTGGACCTACTAGGACCACAAGCATAGGTGGAAGTAGATATTTCATGCTTCTTATTGATGATTTTAGTAGAATGACATGGATATATTTTCTGAAAGAAAAATCTGATGCCATTAACCATTTTATCAAGTTTGTCAACATTGTACAAAATGAGAAAAATTGCAGGGTCAAAAGACTAAGATCAGACTTTGGCACTGAATTCACAATGAATGAGTTTGAGGCTTCTATGATTCAAGAGGCATAAAGAAAGAATTCTCAGCAGTTGCTACTCCACAACAAAACGGGGTTGTTGAAAGAAAGAACAGGACCGTTCAAGAAATGGGCAGGACTTTAATGTTGGAAAGAGGCCTCTCAAAAGGCTTCTGGGCTGAATCTATAAACACAACTATCTATATCATAAACAGAGTACTTCTGAGACCAAAATCTACAAAAACTCCTTTTGAGTTGTGGTATGGAAGGCCTGTAACAGTTCATTACTTCAAAGTCTTTGGAAGCAAGTGCTACATTTTTAATCATCTCGACAATCTTGGAAAATTTGATGCCAAGTCAGATGAAGGAATTTTACTAGGTTACTCCACAAAGAACAAAGCTTACAGATGCTACAACTTGAGAACAAAGAAGATGGTGGAATCAATTCATGTAAAGGTTGATGAAGGGGGTGATGTCAAAATAGATGAAGGCGATGAGACTATCACTGCAACAAAGTAACCTATTTTGGAAAATGATGGTGCTAGCACTTCAACAGAGATTCAGCAAGATAAAAGAGAAACTTTGTATCCCACTCTTCAAAAGCATGTGCAACAACACAACATCATTGGTGACAAAGATACAGGTGTCATGACCAGATCTAAGAAGAATGCCGCTGAAACATTTGAGAAAGATGAATATAGTCATATAGCTATGTTGTTCTCTATTGAGCCGAAACACTACCAAGATGCCAATGATGATAAATACTGGATCATTGTTATGAAAGAAGAGCTGGAACAGATTGAGAAAAATGATACTTGGATCCTTATTCCTAGACCAGAAAACAAGAATGTTATTGGCTCAAAATGGATCTTCAGAAACAAGTTAAATGAGAAGGGCATTGTGATTAGAAACAAAGCAAGATTGGTTTGCAAAGGTTTTGCTCAAATAGCTGGACTTGATTATGATGAAACTTTTGCTCCAGTGGCACGACTGGAATCCATTAGAATGCTTCTCTCATTTACTTGCTACAAAAGAGTCATGGTTTATTAGATGGATGTAAAATCAGCTTTCTTGAATGGTGATCTCCATGAAGAAGTGTACATTGAGCAGCCTAAAGGATTTGAAAATTCAGTGCATCCAAAACATGTCTACAAACTTAGGAAAGCTCTTTATGGTCTCAAGCAAGCACCTCGAGCCTGGTATGATAAGCTTCACTCATTCTCATTGAACAAGGGTTCACGAGAGGTAAAGTAGATAGCACACTGTATGTGAAACTTTTTAATTCAAATTTTCTTATTTTACAGGTTTATGTTGATGATATCATGTTTTGTGGCTCAAATACTAGCTTAACTGCACACTTTGCTGATCTTATGAAAACCATGTTTGAAATGTCTATGCTCGGCACCCTAAAGTATTTTTTAGGCTTTTAAATCTGTCAATCTAAGAAAGGCATATTCATTTCCCAAGAAAAGTATGCTAAAGAGCTCCTAATAAAATTTAATATGCATGATTATAAACCCGTGACTACGCCTATGTGCACATCCACTAAATTAACCACAGAATGCACTAGTGAAATAGTGAATTCTACTCTTTATAGGTCTATCGTAGGTAGCTTCTTGTACTTAACTGCTTCCAGGCCTGATATCATGCATGCTGTTGGTTTAGTTGCTAGATTTCAAAGTGCTCCTAAAGCATCTCATTTAGTTGCTGCTAAAAGAATAATGCGATATATCAAAGGGACACTTAATTATGGACTACATTATACACCTTCACCAAACCTTGATATTCTTGCTTATTCTGATGCCGATTGGGGAGGGTCATTACCTGATAGAAAAAGCACTTCTGGGTGTAGTTATTTGTTGGGAAACAATTTGGTTTCTTGGTTAAGCAAGAAACAAGATAGTGTTGCTCTATCCACTTCAGAAGCTGAGTATAGCTCAGCTGCTTAGGTATGCTCCCAAGCACTGTGGATGAGGTCCACCTTGACTGATTTAGGAATATCTTTTACCAATCCTACAACCATTTTGTGTGACAATCAAAGTGCTATTGCCATTAGCAAAAATCACACACTTCACTGTTGCAGCAAGCATATTGACATCAAATATCATTTCTTATGAGATAATGTGCAAAAAGGATCTATTAAGATGGCGTATGTCTCAACTGATGTCCAATTAGCGGATATTATGACCAAACCATTACCTGCAGCTAGGTTTGCCACCCTACGAGCTGCACTGGGCATTCATGCCCCCTCTCTCTAGTAAGAATGTTTATGGTCTATTCCTTGCCTTTTGACTTTTTCTGTAAAAAAGGGTGAGAAAATAGATCGAGAGTGCCTGAAATATGGCAGCTAGAGTTGGTGTGGAGTGTATTAGAGCAGTAATTGGTCACTATTTGCCTTATATTTCTTGTCTGCATTCTATATTGATTTTTGACATTAAAAGGCAAAAGGGGGAGATTGTTGATCCATTGGTTTATCATGTTTGCTTATTTAATGTAAAATCAATTTTAGCGAACATCTCATTTTTAATCTTAAGTATTGTTGGGTACTATTTTAGTTATATTTATATGTCATTATTAGGTGTGCACTAACAATTCTTTCAATATTTTTTTAGTCTATATGCGTGTATACAAATATATTGCAAGGATAACTAAGTGTCTTCTATATCCATTAATTCCTCATACTTCAACATCCAGGTCATGGAATGTTTGCTAGCTGTGCTTAAATGAAGCTTATTATAGAATAGTATATGATTTGCTATCTAAAGTGATCCAACGGCCTTAAGTTATCTGGTCAGCTTTTATTTGAAGTCAAGGGCTGTGATTAATTCATGATTGGATAGCTTTTGTGTGGCTGTAAGGAGCTGGTGCGTTCTTTCTCTAACGGCTTCATAGTTTAGAGATACATATACAAATCAAGTGTGCGTCTGTTAGGAAAAGCACAAAAACTGAACAGAAAAACTATCAGAGTGCTTAAAGATGAAGACACATTGTGAGATCCAGAGAAAAATCAGAGTGACATAGCAATGCGCAAGGAAGAATCAAGAAAGATTAAGTGGGTCTGTGCTTTATTGACAATCTGAGACAACCTGTGACGTTCATCTATTGAAGACCAAAGAGTGAGCCTGATTGCAGACGAATTTAGAGCAACCATGAAGACCCATTTTGGCCGAAGTCCTGTTGAAGATAAATAGGTGACACTCCATTGAAGAACCCATCACCGGAGAGCTACAGCAACCACACCGGAGAGCTACAGCGACCACACCGGAGAGCCACAGCGACCACACCTGCGTGAAGACTTCATTTCAGCGAGCTAAAATCTCTATCGGTGAGAAGACCTCATTCCGGTGATTTTCAATCTCAGTCCAGCGAGCTAAAATAGCAGCATACCAGGACGGCAAAAATCTCTAAGCTTGTATCAAAGCTCCGGTGCAGTTTCATCTTACAGAAATATTTCAAGCGAGCTTCAGTCCAGTTCTGTTCAAACAAACACCATCTCCGGTTGAAGCTTTGAAGTTGAAAAGATCAAATCCAGAAGCGGAGTGCAATGTTTATCTTGTATGGGCTGTGAAATCTATATTTCAAGTTTTATTTAAATCGTATCTTGTAAAACTTGGAAGAACACCATCATTGTATTATATTTTCTTGCTGAGTGACTTGGTGAGCACTTGGTTCAAGCATTGGGATGCTGTGAATAGGGGGAGTGCTTGAGTGATTGTTGTGAGATTGGTGAGTGGTCCTAGCACAAGGGTGTTGTGGACAGCACAAGGGTGTTGTGGACACGGGAGAGTGCAATAGTGACTTATATGTGAGGTTGGTGAGTGAGATTGAGAGTTGGTGTACTCTATTTCATTTATAGTGGATTTTGAGTTGGGTTTCACAGCCCCGAGGACGTTTCCCCCACACTAGGGGTTTTACCTCGCATATCTGGTGTAAGACAATCGTAGCATTTCATTTGATATTCTATCATCATGCATTAAGATTAAAAAAAAAAAAAAAAAAAAAAAAAAAATTGCGGAAATCTCATAAGATACCAATTCACCCCCCTCTTGGTATCTTCACATACTATAAAATAAAAATATAACGCTACTTAAATCATTGTTCCTTCTAGAAAAAAAGGTCTCATTTGGACTCAACCTTACCAAAATGGTTCACACTTTCATTTTATAGTTTCGTAGGTAATCATCCGTCCTCGAAACCTATCCGTTAACATAGCTTAATATCAATAATTGTTTCACTAAGCAAAATCCAAAGAACTTTACTCTCCTCTTCCTTATACGCAGAATACAAACCATTTAACGTGGCTTTGATAAGCAACTTAGAACGTCACGACCTAATCCCCATACTCTCCGGAACGTGGTATATAATCATGTATTTCGTTCTGCGAATAACTCCATCCGATCCCTATACTTCTGAAGAGTACTTTCTACACCTTTCTCTTAGAGATGTTACGTAAATTTAACCATATTCAGATTGGTCCACACTAACTCTACTTTTTCATTCATGACACTATGAACGAAATAAAATTCATCGTCGTGCCATCATTCATCCTCAAGATTTAGTATCCTCTTTCTTGGATACGTTGAAATCTCCTCCCTTGGAATCCCCCTTCGGACTCCTACTCTTCGCTTGTCTCCTTTTTGAGAATAGCTGAAGTCGTGTTGATCTCGATAGGCGGCGACCTAACACGTACACTTGAATTCCTTCTTGACTTATACTTTCTAAGTAATGCCAACTCCGAAATTAAATCTTTGATCCCAAGTTCTGCGTCGACAAGGAACTCGATCACATACTCCTTTACTTCTTTGGGTCTCTATCGATTTCGCCTTGGACCAAATCCTCCTTTCTAGTGTCAACCCTTCTGTAACTATAGAATATAGTTGACATCAGCTCCTCATAACGAACCGTAGATAGAGTACTACGAATCCTAATATGGCTCTAAGTTTTAAGAGACGCAACGCGGAAGTTCTATAACGAAAACACTTCTAAGGATACTAGAACCTGGAGTACTCTGATACCAACTGTGATACCCTCGGATCTCCGGATGCGGGTTGGCCAGGCCCACGCCTAATTACTCGAGGATATCAAACCAATTAGTAATAATCGAACACAGAATACAATTAAAACCAAAAGAGATAAATAAAATTTGCTGAAATGAAAACTAAAATGACAATCCAATAATTGAAACCTTAGAATAAATATTTCCATTGATAAATAAAACTATTCTGTTACAACTGATCCTCCACGAATACAAATCGTTCTCCAAATTATACAACTCGGGAATCCATTTAGTGGACCCTAAAATATCCCACTGAACTTAAATGACTGGAAATAAAACCGAAGCCTAAAACATGAAACAAAATCCTACGGCATCGACCTTCCTTTGGAAATAAGAGTTTGGTAGCACTGGATCAGTGACCCATTGGTTTGTATTACAGTATTATTTAAGGACAACAAATTTTACTTGTGAGGATTAGGGCGTTAGGAAGAAATTGTTTCAAGAAAGGTGTGGGAAAATATTATTTTGTTAGTTTGGAAAGCATGAAATAGAAAAGAAAATGATTGTACCTATCAAAACTACAATTGTGATTTCAAATACACGAAATAAATAAATTTATATTACACCAGCTCCATTTGTACACCCAATTATTTATATCCATTTTTTAAAAACAAATAAATAAATAATGATAATAATATACTAAATTATAAAATATAAAAAATATAATTGTTTTTATTAATTATGTGAGAAAAGTTTTAGCCATTAATATAGAGGCTTACTCCCAAAATATATAGTAACACGCAAATACTTGGAAAGTTAGGTGACAAATTTTCTTCCATATTGAGTGTTAATCACATATACAAATCACTAATTGATGAGGATTTAATAGGTAACTAAAATAAGAGTCACAACTTTCACAAGAAACTGAAATTTTCTTATTTTATATGGGTCCGTTTGGTTAGATAGAAATTATTGATGGAAAGTGAATGTAAAAGAAAGTAGAGGAAAGGAAAAGAAAGTCGAGTTTCTATTATGTATTTGGTTAGTAAGAAATTTTTTTAAGAAAGTTGTGAGAAAATATTGTTTTGTGAGTTTGAAAAGAATGAAAGTGAAAAGAAAGTGATTCTAGTTCCCAAAACTACCCTTTTAATTATAAGATTACTTTGTACTCTTTTGAGATAGTATCGTATCTCTAGAATTACGAACAAAATTAAAATTTTAAGTTCAAAGATAAATTAATGGACATTATAGTATTTGTCTTCTGATGTTTAATAATTAGATATATGTGATTATAGGTACAAGTTTAATTAATAAAAAATTTTGATCCGAAAATTCTTGAGGATAAAAGGTTGAAGTTAATATATATACTTTTAATCATTAAAAAAAAAATAAAATAAACCTTCAGTATAATAGAAATAAAATACTTGTAACTAAATTAGTTTGGTACATATAATATACGTAGAGTTAAAACTAAATTAATTTGGTATATCTAATATACGTAAAGTTAAAATTAAATGAGTTTGGTACATTTCAGTAGTTGAGTCCTAAAGTTATAAGAAGTCTATGTATAAAAATATATATATATGAATTAAGTTATAATTTAAAAACTTGTATACCTAAAGATACTAACTTAGTTTTTTACCCAACACTTTGTTACTAAATACTCATATATATATATATATATATATATATATATATATATATATATATATCATTCTCAATCATTATTAATTGTGGAAGGAAAAAAAAAAAAAAAAAAAAAATTTAATTTTGATATAAAATTATATACAATTAAATTAGTATTTACATGATCTTATAAGCAATTTACAAAAGAATGAAACTCATTTGTTATAGAAGTTTGTGGAGAAAGTGAAGAGGGTGACATGGGCATAATAGGAAACTAAGATGTGAAGTCACCATTTTCACGGGAAAGTAAAATTTCCCTGTGTTTTATGTCAGAAAATTTTTGAGGAAAATTAAGCAGTTGCAAGAAAATTACTTTCGTGAAAATTTTCTCTTTCACGCTAACCAAACTCCTAAAAAAGTTAAATGTTTTTCTTTTCTTTTCCTTTCTATCTATTTCATGCTAACCAAACAAACTCTATGGGAAAGATTTTGAGAAAAATCAACAATTTGCGTGAAACTAACTATCCTCAAATTTTCACTTTCTTTCTAATTGAAATCTTAAAAAATTTATTTATTTATTATTATTATTATTTTATCTTTCTTGCTACTTCCATCTAAACAAACACACCCTAAAATGTTCATAATTTAGACGTATCATTTTAATGTAAATTTACCAAAATTGAAATCACCAGAAAATATATAGTATTCACCAAAAAATATATAGTAAAAAAGAAGAAGATTGGAGATATATCTTACTTGTTATGTAGAATTTAAGGTTGTTGAACTTAGACAACAATCTTGTTTGGTTGGATAGAAATAACAAGAAGAAAAAAAAGAAATGAAAAATGATAAAAATAAAAAAATAAAAAGAAAAGAAACAAAACGAAATGAAAATTGGAAAGAAAAGTAAAGTGAATTAAAAGAAAATTAATTTTCAAGCATACATTTTATTTGTACTTGCTAAATTGCTTTATAATGTTATTTCTCTCCTAAAATCCCTACAACTATGAAGATGCAATCAGATTTTAGGTGAATCACTTTATGTTCTTATTCTATTCTCGTGGTTGTTCTCAATTCTCAACAATGTCCAAGTACGTTGTTTTTTTTTTTTTTTTTTTTTTTTTTTTTTTTTTTATTTATAAATGTCTAAGTATTATTTTTCTATTTTCCTATTATTTCATTCTTTATAATTTGTGTAATAAAAAAAATATTTTTTATTGTAAGATTTTGAACACGTGCACTGCACCTTCAGTTTTCCGAATGTGTGTATGTATATATATATGTTATATATATATACACACACACACACACACATACATACATACAATAATGTTCAATTGCTCTCCGATAAATATTCTTGTTTGCTAATTTTATTTTTCTCTATTAATTAAACACCACAAATTATATATTCAGGTTTGGCCTATTTGTTTGTTGAGTCAAAGCTATCACTGCTTTTAATGATATCATGAATCTATTCAAATAGAGAAATTAATGTTCTAATTTTGATTATGAAAAAATGGTTTATTGTTGGGGACCTCCTCCTGGTCCATTGCCATGCCATTTCGTGAAGTAGGCCACAATTTATAAACTTCATAATTTTCCACAAGTCAAGCTCAAGCCAGTCCACACTATAGGGTAAATTTTCCATAAATCCATTGAAGTCTCTATCCTTTGACGCATAAGCATAATGTTTGGCCCTACCAAAATAAGAAGTTTCATGTACAGTAGTTACCTGGAAAAGTTCACTTTAAAAATCATCTAAATTATTATGTAACCGACACACCCAGGGTAAAAATTGCCTATTATTATATATATATATATATATATATAAATAGTACCATTATTGCCCTATTAAGATTATCATCCATTTTCCTTGAGGAAAACATTTAATTTTTATGTATCATTTCGTACTTTTATTAACATGCATCAAATTTAATGAATTAATTGAACAGATGAAAATCTTGATTTAATAGACAATTGTAATAAAAATGCACGAAGTCAAATAACTAGCCTAGGATTCGAAATCCAACAAGCAAAAAATGAACCCTATCATTCTATATTTTGTAGTCACTAATACAAAGATTATAGGATTATTTGATCAAACATATATCTTGATTCATCAACTGCCCCAGTAAAATTTTATGTAGAGGTTTAGTTAGTGAATATTTGCAAGCAAGAAACTCCTGAGAGACGCGCAACATTGTTGGACGATACTTTGGTTCAGAACGCAAACAAGAAAATGTCAAGGTAGTAGCCAGAACAACATCCCGTGCAATTACTCCACGCTCTGGAGCTGGGAGGCGCTCATCTAACACGTCATTTAGCATTATATTTTGAGTAGATGCTAATGCAAGTGATTGGAGAAGTTCTCCCGAATGCCTTCCCATGAGTGTTTCTAGCGCCACAACCCCAAAGCTATAAACATCGCACATTTCATTCACTTCCATGGTGTAGGCAAGTTCTATGCAAACAATAAAGATAATTAATCAACTGTTAGAATATTATTCATGGACATGTAGTTTTTGGAAAGAAAACGAAAAAAAATAGTTCAAGAATTGCATATGAAGAATAGTTCACCTGGAGCGATATATCCAAAAGTGCCTGCAAGTACAGTTTGGTTTGATGAATTCGGATATAGCCATCTAGTAGTGCCAAAATCAGAGACAAATGCCTCCGATTCCGAGTCCAACAGGATGTTGCTACTTGATATGTCGCGGTGAATAATTGGTGGATTGCAATCATGATGCATGTAAGACAAAGCATGTGTAATACCTTTAATAATGTTCACCCTCCTGGTCCAATTCAATTCCACTGCTTCATCATCATATCTTAGGGCATAGAATATGCTGCCTCTTTCCATGTACTCGTAAATTAGGAACATGCAACGGTTGTGCAAACAGAATCCGTAAAGCTTGACTATGTTCCGATGCCTTATTTCTGTTAACATCTGCACCTCATTCTTAAAACTCCTGTCGAAAGCTGGTTCCTCGGCTTCCAGCTTATGAAGTTTCTTCAATGCAACAACTTCACCACTCGGTAGTTGTGCCTTATAAACACTGCCATAACCACCGGTCCCTATGCAGTGTCTAATGTCGAAGTTATCAGTTGCTTTAATTATATCTTCATACACAATGCGTCCATTATAATTCCACACTGAGAATAGATTTCCCTTCTTGATTGCCCTTTCTTCAACTTCCGTATTTTTTCTAACCTTTTTACAGCAGAAGAAAACAGTTCCAAGGATTAAGAAGGCAAGGGAAATGATGATGACAAACAAAATGGTGCCCAAGTGCACGAATCTGTTTCTCTTTCTACAAGGAGGGAAACCTTCGACTGAACCACATAAACCTTTATTTCCCCTTAATTCCTAGAATGAGTTGCTTCGAAATTGAAAACCTTGTGGGATTTCTCCCTCCAAATCATTGTATGACAAGTCAATGGACCGCCAATTATAGGTAGAGTTAAACGAAATGGGAATAGTGCCGGAGAGATGATTGTGAGAGACATTCGAGTATTCAAAATAATCTAGTGGAATTGTTGTCACTGGGCCGCTGATGAAGTTATGACTAAGGTTCAGAAATTTGAGTTTTAACAACCTTCCAATTTTTGAGGGAATGGATCTGCTGATATGATTGGAAGAAATGTCAAGGTAATTGAGTTTTAACAAACTTCCAAACTTCCAATTTCCGAGGGGATGGAGCCGTTGATATGATTGGAAGAAATGTCAAGGTAATTGAGTTTTAACAAACTTCCAATTTTCGAGGGAATGGAGCCGTTGATATGATTGGAAGAAATGTCAAGGTAATTGAGTTTTAACAAACTTCCAATTTCCGAGGGGATGGAGCCGTTGATATGATTGGAAGCAATGTCAAGGTAATTGAGTTTTAACAAACTTCCAATTTCCGAGGGGATGGAGCCGTTGATATGATTGGAAGAAATGTCAAGGTAATTGAGTTTTAACAAACTTCCAATTTCCGAGGGGTGAGCCGTTGATATGATTGGAAGAAATGTCAAGGTAATTAAGTTTTAACAAACTTCCAATTTCCGAGGGGATGGAGCCATTGATATGATTGGAAGAAATGTCAAGGTAATTGAGTTTTAACAAACTTCCAATTTTCGAGGGAATGGAGCCGTTGATATGATTGGAAGAAATGTCAAGGTAATTGAGTTCTAATAAACTTCCAATTTTCGAGGGGATGGAGCCATTGATATGATTGGAAGAAATGTCAAGGTAATTTAGTTCTAACAAACTTCCAATTTCTGAGGGGATGGAGCCGTTGATATGATTGGAAGAAATGTCAAGGTGGGATAGCTGGGTGATCTTACAAATGCAAGGAGGCAGCCTACCTGCAAGATAATTGTAAGAAAGTTGGAGAGAGGTAAGGTTCCACATCCTTCCAATTTCTGTGGGGATAGAGCCGCTGATAGAATTGTGAGAAATGTCAAGCTCCAGTAGTTGGGTGAGATTAGCCATGGAAAGAGGCAGCATACCTGTAAGCTCATTGTAAGAAAGTCGAAGGTATTTGAGTTTCGACAACCTTCCGATTTCATATGGGATGTTTCCATTGAGGCCACAGTAACTGAGATCGAGACTTAGTAAGTGTGGAAAGGAAGACATGTTCAATTTCTCCAGCTCTCCCCCCACGTAGTACCGGTGTATTCCAATGACATTTCCAAGCTTATTGCAAGATATTCCATCCCACTCACAGATATTCCATTCAACTGCTATGTCGACTGGAATTCTAAGGTTCAACCACCAACGAGTGCGGAGGAGAGCCTCTGCCTCGTCCATTGATGTTGAAGGGATTTCACTGGTGAAGTTGTTACGAGCAAGTTTTAGATCAACAAGACTCTTCAAATAAGCAATGCTAATTGAGATGGAACCGTCAAAATGATTTGAATTAAGGTATATAAATCGTAGCCTGGTGAGATTAGCAATATATGAAAAAATGGGACCAGTGAAATTGTTATCACTTAGGTCTAAGTACTCTAGATTTTCAAGATTCCTTATTTCTGGGGGGATGGAGCCGCTGATATGATTGGAAGCAATGTTAAGGATGGATAGCTGGGTGATCTTACCAATGGAAGGAGGCAGCCTACCTGTAAGATTATTCTCAGAAAGTCCGAGAGAGGTAAGCTTCCACATCCTTCCAATTTTTGTGGGGATAGAGCCGTTGATAGAATTGTGAGAAAAGTCAAGCTCGAGTAGTTGGGTGAGATTAGCCATGGAAAGAGGCAGCATACCTGTAAGATTATTCTCATAAAGTTGGAGTGAGGTAAGGTTCCACATCCTTCCAATTTCTGTGGGGATAGAGCCGCTGATAGAATTGTGAGAAAAGTCAAGCTCGAGTAGTTGGGTGAGATTAGCCATGGAAAGAGGCAGCATCCCTGTAAGATTATTCTCAGAAAGTCGGAGAGTGGTAAGCTTCCACATCCTTCCAATTTCTGGGGGGATGGATCCGCTGATAGAATTGTGAGAAATGTCAAGCTCCAGTAATTGGGTGAGATTAACCATGGAAAAAGGCAGTATACCTTTAAGCTCATTGTAAGAAAGTTGAAGGTATTTGAGCTTCGACAACCTTCCGATTTCATGCGGGATGCTTCCATTGAGACTACAGTTGCCAAGAGCGAGACTTTGTAAGTTTGGAAAGGAAGACATGTTCAATTTCTCGAGCCCTCCCCGCAGGTAGTACAAAGAAAGGTGTATCCCAATGACATTTCCAAGCTCATTGCAAGATATTCCTACCCACTCATAGTGACTTCTGGAATTGTAAACTGGAATACTAGTGCTTCCCCACCAACCAGTGCGGAGAAGAGCCTCTGCCTCCTCTGTTGATGATGAAGATTTTGATAAAATAGGTGATGCGTTAAGATAATATTAGTTGCTATCCAAACGATGACTACAACTGCACAATATTTGAAGGAAACCATGCTTATTTTTCACAAATGGATCAATGGATGGATGCATTTGGTGGTTGTATATAGAATATATATATTAAAAAAGGCTAGGATCAAAGCTTAGGAGACTTGTAATTAAGGTCCACAACCACACCAGGCACAGGCAAAGGAAGTCAAGCCCAGAAACTTCTGCGAAGCTTCATGTTTAATAAGTTTGAAAAGTAGTTCACCGGTGTTTGTAGAAAATACTAATGTGAATGCCATGGGAGTGTGGTTTTTGGTGCTGAAATTACACCTAATAACTTAAAATTTTAATTCGGATTATTAAGTATCCAATCGGTTGTAATTGGTATCAGAGTTATATATTTAACAGACTCAATTCTAAGTAGATACTAAAGAAAAAAAAAAAAAAAAAAAGAATTTTGAAAGTAGCAAAGTAAAATAGGAATTTTGAAAGTGTTATATGTATAATATCTATAGTAAAAAGGGGTTGTGTTATGCATTTAATCCATTTATGTACATAATTTATTTATTTTATTTTATTTTCAAGATTTATGTACACATGCGAGCACCAAAAAGTTACACAACTCCATGTTGCCTTTGGCCATGTCTTTTTTGGTCTATTTCGGACACAGTCAAAGGGAGTCAAGCCCAGAAACTTCTGCCAAGTTTCATGCTAAACTTTGTGGGTGTTGTCATCACCAATTTAAGTCATCATTCAAAGTTTTTGACTATTCTTTCTTTCCTGGTACTAATATAGAATTAATGCGAAACTTCGTGGGAGAAGAATTTGTAGAAAACACTAATGTGAAAGCCCTGTGGAGTGTGGTTTTTGGTGCTGAAATTACACCTAATAACTTAAAATTTTAATTCGGATTATGAAGCACCGATTGATTATAATTGGTATTAGAGTTATATATTTAACAGACTTAATTCTAAGTAAATACCAAAGAAAGAAAGAAAGAAAGAAAATAAAAATAAAAATAAAAAGAAGGAATTTTGAAAGTAGCAAAGTAAAATAGAAAATTTGAGAGTGCTACATGTAGAATATCTATATTCTATAATGAAAAGGGAGGTGTTATGCATTTAATCCATTTATGTACACAATTTTTTTTTTTTCAAGATTATAGTAAGAAAATTTAAAACAAAATAAATACTTGTATATAGAATATATATATTAATTTTACTTAAGGCTAGGATCAAAGCTGAGGAGACTTGTAATTAAGGTCCACACGGACACAGTCAAAGGGAGTCAAGCCCAGCAACTTCTGCCAAGTTTCATGCTAAACTTCGTAGATGTTGTCATCACCAATTTAAGACATCATTCAAAGTTTTTGACTATTCTTTCTTTGCTGGTAGTAATATAGGTAGGGTGAAGAATTTGTAGAAAATGTTAATGTGAATCGCTTGTGGAGTGCGGTCTTTGATGGTTATATATATATGTTGGCCTAAGGATTTTTATCTAAAGGTTTTGATGATTACAAACCATTAATGATTTTTATGTACTAATATTTTCATTGAGTTATATATAGTTCATATCTTATATGATGAGCTAAGCATTCAAGTACTCAAGCTATGGACTCAATGAAGCCTCAAAGATTGCAAGAAATCAAAGAAAGACTCAAACTTCAAAGATCAATCAAACAATTTCAAGGAAGAAAGCAAGTCTTCATCAAGCTCAAAAGATCATGGTCAGGGAATGGAGAAAAGGGTAGATAGGATGGTGAGAGCTTTAGATTTAAATGTTAAAGCATATTTGAATATCTTCTGAAGCTCAAGTTTTTAGGTTCATGCATATTTTCTCTAAAAATCAGTTTTTAGAAGGCCTAAAATCTTTCCATGAACTTTACTTATGCATGCTCTCATAATAGGAAGTGCACAGAACAAGATGTGTTTCATTCTTAGTCTTACACAAGGATTGGAGCCGCCTCCCAAATGTAGGAGCCTGCTCTTTGCACTCCAGTAGCCAAATTGTGTGTCGTAGAATGCATTTTGTGAATTAGAGCCGCCTCCCAGTTATTGGAGCCGCCTCCCATTTATTGGAGCCTCCTCCAATTTTTTGTAGAGCCGGCTCTTCTAAGTTATTTGAATCTACAACGGCACTTTTCTGCATTTAAGTCTTCCAACTACTTCTAACAGACATATTAAACTACGGTTGTCTATATAAGGAAGGCTCATTTACTGAAGTAGTGACACCACTGAATAATACATTCAAGAGAGCATTCAAGAGCATTCAAATAAGCTATTCAATTTCTTCTCTGAGCTTTCACTTTCAACCATCACTACATTCTCTCATCCTAGAACTTGAGCTTCATTAATATTCTGATATTCTCTAGTTGTGAGCTTACACTTGTATATCTATTGAGAGAGATTCTTGTATTTCATTTCAAACTTTGCTACAATCTTGTAAGGGTTGGTGTGACCCAAAAGAAGCTTAGGAGAAGGGTGTTCTCCTAGCAAGGAAAAGAAGCAAGGTCTTGCTTCAAATTTGAAGGTTTGCTCTGCACCATTAAGGAGAAGCTCTAGTGAATTTGGGAAGTCTCAAGGGGGATCTTGAGCCGAGGAGTAGGAGTTTCCGAACCTCGCTAAATCACCGAGTTCATTGTTTGCATCTTCCTATCTCTATCTCTTCTTTACTTGTGCTATATATTGCTTAATTTTTCCAATTAATCATTGCATAATAGTTGTTGTAAAACAAATTTCATAAAATTGCGAAAATTGGCCATTGACTCTATTCACCTCCCCTCTAGAGTCAATTAGTGGTTAACAATTGGTATCAGAGCCTAATCTCTAGAAAAAGATTAATCATCTTAGAGAACGATCATGGCTAATACAAACTTTTATCAAGAAGGTCAATCTAACAATAGACCCCATTGGTTTGATGGAAGTGACTACAACTATTGGAAAATCAAAATGAGAGCATTCTTAAGAGGCATAGATGTAGATGTTTGAAAAGCCATAGAAAAAGGAGACCATGTTCCAACCAAGATAGTAGAGGGTGAAAATGTTCCAACACCCGATATTGAATGGACCCTAAATGACCGTAGGCTTATACAATGTAATGTCAAGGCTATCACTAATCTCTATTGTGCCTTAAGCAAAGACGAATTCAATAGAATTTCGGATTGCGAAACGGCTAAAGAAATTTGGGATAAACTTGAAGTTACCTATATAGGTACTAGTCATGTTAAGGAATCCAAAATGAATATGCTTGTCTATAAATATGAACTTTTTACCATGAATAACAAAGAAACTATTAGTGAAATGTACTCTCGTTTTACTAACATTGTTAATCCTTTGAAAGCTCTTGGAAGAAAATATACATCATCCGACAATGTAAGAAAAATCCTTAGATCTTTGCCAAAGAATTGGGAAGCAAAGAAGACCGCCATCCAAGAAGCCAAAGATCTTAACACACTTCCCATTGACGAACTCATTGGTTCATTAATGGCTTACGAGCTAGAAATGAATGATAGAGATGAAGAAACTCAAAAGAAGGATATAGCTCTACAAGCTACTACCAAAGAAGTTGCAATTGATAAGGCTCCTCATGATGAAGAAGAAGAAGAAGTTGCTCTCATTACCAAAATCGTGAGAAGAATCCTTCAAATGAAGAAGTTCCAAAAGAGCAACAACTTCAAAAGAAATGGGTCATCTAGTGAGCAAGGAAAAAGAGAAGCACCTACTTGCTTCCATTGTGGAAAACCGGGGCATTTCAAATCCGATTGCTATGCCTATAAAAATGAAAAGGAAAGGAAAAAGAAAGGAAAGGCCATGCAAGCTACATGGGAGGATGATGATTCAAATGGATCTGAAAGTGACGATGAACTCAATGAATTGGTTAATCTTTGCCTCATGGCTGATGACGATGAGGTAATTTCTAATCATGACTCATTTAATTTGGAAACTACTTATGATGAATTGGTTGATGCACACAATTACTTACTAGATGCCTTTAGAGAATTGCATGATGAATTAGGCAAAATGGTTCAAAAATGTGCTACTCTAAAAAGGGAAAAGAATATCATCTCTCAAAACCTTGAAAAATTTCAACTTAAAAATGAAGCTTTGAAAAAGGAAAAAGAATTAGCTAAAGAATCGATTTCAATAGATTTAATTTCTGAAAATAAATCATTAAAAATTATGATTGAAGATCAAATTGAGACTTTAGCAAAATTCACAAAAGGTAGAGAAAATTTGGGTCTCATACTTGGAAAGCAAAGAAATGCTTATGCCAAGGATGGACTTGGATTTGATCCTCACAACAAAAATTCTTGTTTATTGAAAAAAAGAGAACCTTTGAATAATTACTTTGTTAAAAATTCCTCTTTTAGTCCACAATGTAATTATTGTAAAAAAATAGGACATAAGATCAATCATTGTCCTATTAGGCCATGTTGGACAAAAGAAGTTTGGGTTATTAAAGGGACTTATACACCTCTTCCTAACTCTCATGGACCCAAGAGAATGTGGGTACCAAAAGAAGATTATTCAAATTCCTTTTGTAGGTTTGCTTGAAGTCTCCATATTTATCCAAGGACAAATGGTTTCTTGATAGCGGATGTTCAAGGCATATGACGGGAGATCAATCAAAATTTCACTCCATCAAACCTCATAAAGGAGGAAGCGTCACATTCGGTGACAACTCAAAAGGCAAGGTCATTGGCATTGGAACTATTGGTATCTCCTCCTCCTTATCTATTGATGATGTGTTACTTGTTAAGGGCTTAAAACATAACCTATTTAGTATTAGCCAATTATGTGATAAAGGATATGATGTTTTGTTTAAATCGGACAAATGCATTGTCAAAAAGGATAATGTTGAAGTTTTCCATGCTCTAAGAAATGGTAATGTATATTCTTTGCTTTTATGTGAACTACACGATCAAGATGTCAAGTGTCTTGTATCCTCAAATGAGGATAGTTGGTTGTGGCATAGAAGGTTAGGTCATGCTAGTATGGATTTGATTTCAAAACTATCTAAGAATGAATTGGTCAAAGGCCTCCCAAAGACTAATTTTTCTAAAGATAAAACTTGTAGCGCATGCCAAATAGGCAAGCAAATCAAGTCATCATTTAAAAGGAAAAAGGATATAACAACTTCAAGACCACTAGAATTAATTCATATGGACTTATTCGGTCCGGAGAGAATTGCTAGTCTTGGTGGAAAACTCTATGCATTTGTCATTGTGGATGACTTCTCTAGATTCACTTGGGTATTTTTCCTTACACATAAAAATGAGGTTCATACAATCTTTACTAAATTTTGTAAAAGAGTTGAAAACGAAAAAGAATGTAAGATCAAGTCCATTAGAAGTGATAGAGGTAGAGAGTTCGACAACCAAGATGTGGAAAGATTTTGTGATGAAAATGGATACAATCATAATCTTTCGGCTCTTAGAACTCCTCAACAAAATGGAGTTGTTGAAAGGAAAAATAGGTTTCTCCAAGAAATGGCTAGGACTATGTTAAATGAACATAATTCTCCTAAATCTCTATGGGCCGAAGCTGTTAGTACCTCATGCTATGTCATAAATAGAGTCATCATTAGAAAACTCCTTAATAAGACTCCTTATGATCTTTGGAATAAAAGGAAACCAAATATTGGATACTTTAAAGTCTTTGGGTGTAAATGCTTCGTGTTAAATGACAAAGATAATCTAGGAAAATTTGAACCTAAATCAGATGAAGGTATTTTCCTAGGATACTCTTCTCGTAGCAAAGCATTTAGAGTGTTTAACAAAAGAACACGAGTGGTTGTGGAATCAATACATGTTGTATTTGATGAATCACCATTATCCCCTCTTAGATGCTCATTGGATGAAAATGAAGATGTGATTGAGATTGAAAAGAATGTTGAAAATCTTGATTTAAATGGTCCTTCTCATAAAGATCTCTCCAAAGATGTTCCAAAAGAAAGTCACTCTCATGAAGACACTCCTCCTAAGGCTTGGAAGCAAGTGCTTAATCATCCAATAAATCAAATTATCGGTGATCCATCTAAAGGTGTAAGAACTAGATCTCAAATAAGTAATATTTGCAATTATGTAACTTTTGTTTCCCAACTTGAACCAAAAAATATTCATGAAGCCGAAAATGATGAATCTTGGCTTTTGGCCATGCAAGAAGAACTTAACCAATTCAAAAGAAAGAAAGTTTGGTTTTTGGTTCCAAGGCCTAAAGACAAAACTATCATTGGCCCAAAATGGGTATTTAGGAATAAAAAGGATGAATCGGGAATCATAGTAAGAAACAAGGCAAGGCTTGTTGCTCAAGGATATAATCAAGAAGAAGGAATTGATTATGAGGAATCCTTTGCCCCCATAGCTAGACTTGAAGCTATAAGAATGCTCCTTGCTTTTGCATCCCATAAGAACTTCAAGTTATATCAAATGGATGTAAAAAGTGCTTTCTTAAATGGTATCATCGAAGAAGAAGTATATGTTGATCAACCATCGGTCTTTGAAAGCTATAATTACCCAAACCATGTTTTCAAATTATCAAAAGCCTTGTATGGTTTAAAACAAGCTCCAAGAGCTTGGTATGAAAGACTAAGTGGTTTTATACTCGTTAATGGTTTTATTAGAGGTAAAATTGATAATACTCTTTTCACTAAAACCATCGATAACAACTTATTGGTCATTTAAATTTACGTTGATGATATTATCTTTGGATCAACCAATAGTGTGATATGTGAAAAGTTTGTTTCTAGTATGCAGAATGAATTCGAAATGAGCATGATGGGTGAACTTACTTTTTTCCTAGGATTGCAAATCAAACAAACACTTGATGGCATTTTTGTTTGCCAATCTAAGTATGTTAAAGATTTGCTAAAGAAATTTGGCTTGGAGGAAGTCAAACATGCCCATACTCCAATGAGCTCATCTTTGAAACTTGATAAAGATGAAAAAGGCACTGATGTAGATATTAAAAAATACAGAGGTATGATTGGTAGTCTCTTATATCTAACCGCAAGTAGACCGGATATCATGTTTAGTGTATGTTTATGTGCTTGTTTTCAATCTTGTCCTAAAGAATCTCATTTATCTGCCGTTAAACGAATCTTTCGCTATTTGAGCTATACCACATTCTTGGGACTTTGGTATCCTAGACATACATCATTTGACCTTGTTGGTTACTCGGACGCTGATTTTGGTGGATGCAAAGTTGATAGAAAAAGTACTAGCGGGACTTGTCACTTCATTGGACAATCATTAGTATCTTGGTCTTGCAAGAAACAAAATTCCATAGCTCTATCAACGGCGGAAGCCGAGTATATTGTAGCCGGTAGTTGTTGCGCTCAAACACTTTACTTTAAACAACAACTAGAAGACTTTGGACTCTATTTTGATCACATTCCTATTATGTGTTATAATACAAGTGCAATATGCATCTCTAAAAATCCTATTCAGCATTCAAGAACAAAGCATATAGAAATTAGATACCATTTTCTTAGGGATCATGTTTCTAAGGGTGATATTGATCTTATTTTTGTGACTACTGAAAAGCAATTAGCTGACATCTTCACAAAACCACTCCAAGAGGAGAGATTCTGTCTACTCAGAAGAGAAATTGGAATGATCACAGAGCAGAATGTCATGCAGTGAAGTAGCAGCAGCAGAGCCGGCTCCAATCTAAATAAGAGTCGCCTCTATAGAAAACAAGAGCCGGATCATCTCATTCAAGAGCCGCCTCTACAACCTGCATCCAAGAAAATCACAAATCCTAACTCTCGGTATCTCTAGAGCCGGATCACAAAATTTCATGAGCCGGCTCCCCAAAACCTGCATCCATGTCCAAACTCTCGGGGTCTCTCAAAACTCATCAAGAGCCGGCTCCAAAAAAATCAAGAGCCGGCTCCAAAAATCAAGAGCCGGCTCCAAAAAGCTCTTGAGCCGGCTCCAATTTCCCATGAGCCAGCTCCAATCAAGTGTCTCTCTTTTTATTACCTCGGGCAGTAGTCATTTTGAAACAATCCACCATTCCAGAGAGCATAAACCGTGAGAGCTTCTTCACCATGAGTATGGGTGCTTCCACTTATAAGGTTTCACAATGATTCCATCCATCATGTAAATGTCTAGTGGCCTTTATTCTGCATCTTGATTTATTCTCCTCTCACTGTTGTGCGAAAATTTCTCCATCTTAGGTAAAAACTTCAACCTCATTTGTTCTCCTTTCTTCATTATTTCGTCTATCATATCTATGTATTGATCCATGCTTTGATGTAATACTCGATGAATTGCTTTAAACTCATCTTAAATTGAATTTTGTTGCATGAATTCCTTTCAATTTTGAACAAAATTTTGGTTTAATCTCCTTTACATTACATGTTCAAACCCTAGAAATGTCATATTTTGATCCAAAATTTTGGTCTTGCTTCATGAATCTAAGCATTTTCTTGTGGATTATGTTGAATTTCCCTCTTGGGTTTACATTTCCATAATATTTTACCAATTCCACATGAATTGTCATAATTGATTCAACATTTCTCAAGACTTAATTTTCTATCAAACCCTAGAAATTTAATACTTTCAGCAAATTTTTTTTGGGGGGTTGCTTTGTGAATTCATTTCTTTTTAATTTTATTCCATTAAAATTCCATTTTAAGTCTACATTTCAAAATTCATTTTTCAAAATCCAACGAAAATCACATTGTTGCTCACAATTTTTTTTGGGTTTTCAAACATAGTTTATTTTATTGTTTTGTTCTCCAAATTGTCTAGATATGAAATTTTTTTTTTCAAAGTCTTTTGAAAATGCCTCCATATCTTTCAAAATTAATATAAGTTTAGTTTTTAAATTGTGACTTGTTTAGGTCCCTACTGAGTTTCCATGGCATCATCCTCCCGTAGAAGGAATCCTTCTCGTGGCAAAACTAGGATCACTCAATCTCATGACTCTATCCCAAATGAACAAACTCCTCCTCCAAGTGCAATTCAAATTTCTGCCACAAAGTTATATAGAACTCCTACTCACAAGAGGCTATATGAGAAAGAATTTCTTCATAGGAAAGTGGCCAAAGGAAAGGTTCTGTCACACACAATTTGTGATGACCTCAACCTCAACACCTACAAACTCTTTAATGCTATTGGCCTTGGGTCATTTGTTGGGATGAAAAACAAGTATTATCCAAGACTTGTTCAGTTATTCTACACCCACCTTGAGAAAGTGCCTGGTGTAGAGAAGTTACAATGCTATGTGGCTGGAGTGGAATTCGATCTTGATGTTAGAAGCATTTCCAAAATCTTTCATTTTATGGATGATGGTATTCAATTTTACTCTCCTAAAAAATGGTTCACTGGGAAAGATTTTGACAAACTAGCGGCCATTCGCCAAATGAGCTATGATTCCCGCACTACCAATATCAAAGAAGTCAAATCCAAACAATTGACTATGGAAGCTCGATTGATCCACAAGATTATTACATACTCCATTCTTCCTAAAACCGGCAGTTGCTCAAAAGTCTCTCGCATGGAAATCTTTCTGATTTGGTGTGTCTTAAATGGAAAAGATTTTGACTTGGCCTACATTATCTTTCATCACATGTTGGCATGCAAGAAAAAGAAAAACACTCCACTCCACTATGCCATGGTTCTCACTCACATTTTCATGGCTAACAAAATTCCACTTGACAAAAGAGAATCAGCCAAACTAGGCCCAAGAGATATCCTTGATGCTTTCAATCTAGACACAATGGGGCTAAAAAGGGATCCCGATGGTATGTGGTTTTATCCTAGGCAGAGAAGATTCAAAGAGGCTAGAGCTCGTGGAGAAGAGATTGATGATGTTGATGATGGGGATGAGGAAGAACATGAAAGCAATGACAGTGCTGAAGATGAGGATGTTCCAGTTGCACATCGCTCAAATCATGATATTTTATTGGAACTTCTAACTGTTTCTCGTTAAAATCAAGCCACTCTTCAAGAACAACAAACCACTCTTGAACACCAACAACAACAACTTGACGAAGTGCTTATGACTGTCACTCATATCAGTGAAGACTTTGAAGCCTTTTGAAAAGGCCTTGAACCCCCTCCTCCTTCTACTTAGAACAATATCACCTCGTCTAAAAACTCTTCTTGTGCACTCACTTGTTTTATCTGCTTTGAAGAAGCCTCTTTTAGCTATGTTTTTACTTATATCGTTTTTCTTTTGAAGTCTTTATCATGATCTATGCTTTTGTCTAACATCTGCTAGTTATGTTCATATTTTTTGTATCTACTGTTTTGACTTCTGTCATCTATAAAATGACATATTTCCTATTTTATTGCCCTTTAAATTCTCATTCTCTAATAGTTCATGAATTGGCATGTATTTTCTCTTTCATAGAAGTAGACTTTTTGAGATGACAAAGGGGGAGAAAGATGTGTTATTATGCTATGTGTCTACTATGCTATGTGTCTACTCTACTTTTTATATATATCTTGATTGATGCATATTGATAGGGGGAGACTTATAAAAATTTCTGTAAAAAGTTAAATGAAATCAAGCATGATATGATACTTTAGATATACTTATTGATAGGGGGAGCTCTCTTTCAAATGCAACTCTACTTTGTCAATAAACACATCAATGTTTTGTCATCATCAAAAAGGGGGAGATTGTTGGCCTAAGGATTTTTATCTAAAGGTTTTGATGATTACAAACCATTAATGATGTTTATGTACTAATATTTTCATTGAGTTATATATAGTTCATATCTTATATGATGAGCTAGATGAGTCATTTCAAGCATTCAAGTACTCAAGCTATGGACTCAATGAAGCCTCAAAGATTGCAAGAAATCAAAGAAAGACTCAAACTTCAAAGATCAATCAAACAATTTCAAGGAAGAAAGCAAGTCTTCATCAAGCTCAAAAGATCATGGTCAGGGAATGGAGAAAAGGGTAGATAGGATGGTGAGAGCTTTAGATTTAAATGTTAAAGCATATTTGAATATCTTCTGAAGCTCAAGTTTTTAGGTTCATGCATATTTTCTTTAAAAATCAGTTTTTAGAAGGCCTAAAATCTTTCCATGAACTTTACTTATGCATGCTCTCATAATAGGAAGTGCACAGAACAAGATGTGTTTCATTCTTAGTCTTACACAAGGATTGGAGCCGCCTCCCAAATGTAGGAGCCTGCTCTTTGCACTCCAGTAGCCAAATTGTGTGTCGTAGAATGCATTTTGTGAATTGGAGCCGCCTCCCAGTTATTGGAGCCGCCTCCCATTTATTGGAGCCTCCTCCAATTTTTTGTAGAGCCGGCTCTTCTAAGTTATTTGAATCTACAACGGCACTTTTCTGCATTTAAGTCTTCCAACTACTTCTAACAGACATATTAAACTACGGTTGTCTATATAAGGAAGGCTCATTTACTGAAGTAGTGACACCACTGAATAATACATTCAAGAGAGCATTCAAGAGCATTCAAATAAGCTATTCAATTTCTTCTCTGAGCTTTCACTTTCAACCATCACTACATTTTCTCATCCTAGAACTTGAGCTTCATTAATATTCTGATATTCTCTAGTTGTGAGCTTACACTTGTATATCTATTGAGAGAGATTCTTGTATTTCATTTACAAACTTTGCTACAATCTTGTAAGGGTTGGTGTGACCCAAAAGAAGCTTAGGAGAAGGGTATTCTCCTAGCAAGGAAAAGAAGCAAGGTCTTGCTTCAAATTTGAAGGTTTGCTCTCCACCATTAAGGAGAAGCTCTAGTGAATTTGGGAAGTCTCAAGGGGGATCTTGAGCCGAGGAGTAGGAGTTTCTGAACCTCGCTAAATCACCGAGTTCATTGTTTGCATCTTCCTATCTCTATCTCTTCTTTACTTGTGCTATATATTGCTTAATTTTTCCAATTAATCATTGCATAATAGTTGTTGTAAAACAAATTTCATAAAATTGCGAAAATTGGCCATTGACTCTATTCACCCCCCTCTAGAGTCAATTAGTGGTTAACAATTGGTATCAGAGCCTAATCTCTAGAAAAAGATTAATCATCTTAGAGAACGATCATGGCCAATACAAACTTTCATCAAGAAGGTCAATCTAACAATAGACCCCCTTGGTTTGATGGAAGTGACTACAACTATTGGAAAATCAAAATGAGAGCATTCTTAAGAGGCATAGATGTAGATGTTTGAAAAGCCATAGAAAAAGGAGACCATGTTCTGAATTTTGATTTTAAAACATTTGTGACACTCAATTGAGGAGGAAAAAATTGATCATTTTTTAATTTTTAAAAATTTTGTTGGCTAGTGAGTTAAAAACTGAGGGATTTTTTTAATTTTAAAAGTTTTTTAAAGGACTATTTGTGGCATTTTTAGAATTATTAAAATTTAAATAAGAAATTTACCAAAAATGGAAAAGTCCAATGGGAGCAATTGCCCTCACTGGGCCTAGCAAGGCCCCGCCCATGCCTATTGGGCCTTGCTCTTCAGTCCAAGCTATAACCCACTGTACTCTCTTTTTTTTTTTGGATACATAACCACTGTATTTACCTTACATTTATACAATTTGTATAAACTTCAAACCAAAAAAAAAAAACCAATATTATGTGAACCAATATTGATATTGGGATCTAAATGCAACGATGGTTATGAGTGTACAAAAAAGAAAGGGCATTGAATCAAACGAAACATTAATACACGTTGAGCCAAAAGTAATATCACCACACCAGAAAATAAATAAGAAAAAAGACAGATATTTTAAAAGCCCTCTATTAGTTTTACAGAAATTTATCAAAGAAATTTATAGACTTAAGGGTGTCTGTCATTTATACGATATATCAATTTAATGGTAAATTTATACATGCTCAATCTTTGTCATTATTTATATAAAGTGACTACTCATCACTTCATCAGGATTAGTGCCAGAAAAGGCGTTTAAAACAGAAATTTCAATAAACTCTATTTACTTATACGTTTTTTTTTTTTTTTGGAGGACTCCAATATCACTAGGTGCATATCATTTTTTAAGGTGATGAATTAAGTTGTTCACTTCTAGTGCTGTCTATTTAAAAAAAGAAAATAACAA